TCCGTAGCGTCCGAAAGCTCTAGGCGATGCCGAGGCCTCAGAAAAGCCAACGGCTCACTTTGTTCCCAAATGACTTCAGCTTGACGCGAAGGGAAATGTATAAATATGTGCGCAGACGCAAGTAGCCCAGCCTGAGGCATTTGCGTGGACACACCCCTCAGCTCCTGTGCTCGTCCGCACCGTTGACCACGCTTCATCCTCCTGGGCGTTTCTGCCCCTCGGACGTGTACGCGGCTGGCCTGCGGTGTGGGGGATGGAGAATCCAAGACCTCAGTTTTCAGCACCTTGCCCCAAGTTATCCTAAAATCGATGCCTCGGTCGGGACTCAGACCCAGCACTTGCTTATTCCGAACCAAGCGCCCTGTGCCGGACCCTGAGTGGCCCGACGGCATTTCCCCGGAATCATGATGTTCCAAGGGCCCGAGGGCAGACGGACTTCCCAGGGGCGAGGGGCCGGGGGCCGGGGGCCCGAGGCAGGGCAGGTTTCTCCCTGAAGCGGGCTCTTACCAGCACGCCTTGTGAGTTTTGTCAGGGTTGCCTGTGTGGCAGAAATGCCGATTATGTGAGCTCCGTGCGTGTTTATTTTATACATTCTTGTCGCAAAAGCGTCTGCTGGCTCTGTACGAGGCTAATTGCATAATGCTGTGTCTGTGAGCTAAGAGGTGTTTGCTTTAAAATGTTTATGGGGAATGCTCTTATCTTGTCTATCTGATTAAAATTCATTCAGGCCGTGAGCGATCCAGTTAGACTCGGAAGCAGGCGGTGGGGGGGAAAGAGTGGGGCTGAACGCTCTTTGCACTGCAGAGATGCATTCTCATTCCCTGTGCTCTTGAAAATGGCAGTGGAGTCCGCAGCCTGAGGGACGGCAGGCCCAGGGCCGATTCGTGCCCCCCGGGGGACATCTGGAGACGTTTCTGACTGTCACAACTTGCGGGGAGAGACTACCGTCACGTAACGGGTGGGGGTCAGGGATGCTGTGCGCAGGGCAGCCCCTGTCACCCAGCCCCAGATGTCAGCCGTGCCGTGGCCGAGAGATCTGGTCTGTTGGTCTCCTGGGCCGCGTTCCCCTGGCCTCTGACCTGGGTCGGGAAATGGTAGGACTTTGGGTCTGGGAGGGCGTGGGCACAGGAAGCCCACCCCGCCAGCACGGCAACAGGGAGGAAGCTGGTGCCAGAGCCCCCAGGGCATCGAGGTGTGGGGGTGACCGCACCTCCCCTCTGTCCCGAGGCATCTGGCCGCCTGGGGCCACTGGAGCCCGGGGTGCATCTAGGGGGCGGTTGCCCCCCCCCGCCCAGGGGAGGCCGTGCAGCCCAGGCCCGGCCCAGCTCTCAGCGCCTGGCTCCAGCTTTTCTTAGGGCTTCTCCTCAGTTCCTGGAAAAAGGCTTAACACTCTGTGCACAGTTCTTGCCCCCAGAGGGCATCTGGCAGCCCGAGGGTCCCCGGGAGGTGGCCCGGCCACCCTGCCCGCCGCCTCGGCCGGAACCAGATGGGAGGCCTGGCCTCTCTCTGGGGTCCCGTGGGCAGCTGGCCGCGGTCAGCGTCTGCTCCCTGCTCGGAGGGCCGAGGCTGTGGCCAGTTCCCTCCACTCCACGGGTGGGCTTACCTGGTCTGGGCAAGGTGCTAGCGTGGCGGGGGGCGGGGGGGTCCTCAGAGGAAAGAGAGTGTGTCCCACCCTTACAGTTCTTGTCTGGCGCAGAGATCTGTCCTGAGCTGACGTTCAATGGCACTGGTGCCACTCTTATCAATCAGTTTGATGAGCTGATGCCTATTGTCGCGTGTTAGTAATAATAATACAGAATGACAGTGGCCAGACAGCACACAGCTGTTGTGTTTTGAGCACCAACTATGTGCCGGGCACTGTCCTGAGGGCTCGTCTGCATCCCCCTCCCACCAGCAGTAACAGGGCAGTGGTTGTCGTCACCCCCACTTTCCAAATGAGGAAACCGAGGCACTAGGCACCTGGGACGATGTCAGAGGCCACAAGCAGTCTGCCCGATTCCAGAGCCATGCTGAGGCCTCACATCCCACCGGCTCCCCAGACCTCAGAGAGACGGATGTTTCTGGAAGAGGGCAGATGTCAGCGGGGGACATCTGGGAATCCTTGGTGGGGGGAGGCAGGGAGGCAGGGCTCACGTAGGCGTGAGGAGAGCCTGCAGGGTCCTCCCTCGGAGACTGGGAGCGTGAGGGAGCTTGGGTGGGTTGGGGGGCTGAGCGCTCAGCCCTCCTGGTATTTGGGGCTTAGACCCTTCCCTTTCGAGAGCTCAGGAGAGACTCCGACCCACCCGACTCACTCTCTTCCCTTCGTGTTTGCCCAGGGAGCTGATGGCATCCGCGGTCTGAAAGGCACCAAGGGCGAGAAGGTGAGTGCCCCCTGCCTCTTCCTGCCGCAGAGCCGGAGGCCCGCTGGGTGGCTTCTTCCGTGGCAGCCCTAACAGCTGCTGAGGCTCATGTGGCCTCTGAGTGTGGAGGGACGTGCTCCCCCACCGCGGGACAGACTGTTTGCAAAAGGGCAGGCTGTGGGCGCACCTCCTGGCGGGGCTGAGGGTCGGGGGCTTGGCACCCCCCCACCCAAGGCCAAGGCCAAGGCTCGCCGCTCACCTGCATTGGCCAGCGGACACCCCAGGCGGATGCCTCGCAAGGCAGCTGGACAACGGGGCCATTGGGGTGCTGGGTGTTCTTCCCTGGGCGGCCCCTCAGGCTGGAGCAGAGCCAGGCACGGAGGGAAAGAGGTGTCGCCGTGCCCCCCCCGCCGCGCCCGGCACGGCTCCTTCCCCGCGGCGTCTGCCTGTTCCCGTCCCTGAGCTGGCTCCTCACATGGCCACACCGGACAGGGACGGCGCGGACGCTGGGCCCTCTGTGCTGTGGCGATGGCTCAGCCTCGGCCCCGTCTCCGTGCTCAGCCTGGGGGAGCAGGCGCACGCACACTGCCTCGGTTCCCCCTGGAGAGCCAGTGGAGGAAGGCAGACCCCTGAGCCGTCATCCTGTGGCCCCTGGAAGCGTGGGGACTGAGGGCCCTCGGGGTCAGGGCCGGGCACACTCCCCGCGGGACAGATGAGGTCCCCACCGGCAGCTCCCGGCTCCCTGAACTCCCCTCATCCCGTTGGCGGGGGTCCCCAGAGCCCCAGGTTTGCCACATCTGTGCCATCACTTTTGTCCTTTAGCCAGAGACAGGGCTACCTGAGCGAGTTCTGACGGGGAAGGCCCCTTCTCCAGGAGGGTCACCGCCCCTCTGAGGGCCCCCGGGGGGCAGCCTGCGGGGTGGGGGTGAGGAGAGCCTCCTGGGACCTCAGTGCCCGAGGCCGCTGTGGGTGAGTCCCCGGCATATCACCGGACAGCGGACGCGCACTGCGGGCTGGGGAGAAACGAGTTCGCCCCAAGTCCCAGGAAACTGCCTCCCTCTGCGTACCAGCTGCCGGCCGGCCTGGGGCGCAGGACCAGGCCCCCCGATGGGCAAACGAGGTCAGGATGCCGGGCCTGGATGGAGAGGGAGGGCGAGCCAGGCCGCCCCGTGCAAGTGCCTGAGGGTGTCTGTGGTTGTCTGCGTGGGGACTCGAGCGCACGGCAGTCCCTGACCCTTGTGGATCCCCAAATATGCGAATAGCAGGAATGTGTTCCCCTGGCCTGGAGGGTGCAGGACTGTGTCACTGAGGGCTGCCCCGCAGCCAGACTGCCCGAGCCCTGGGCCCTTCCGTCCCCTCCAGCTCTTGCTGGGCCGGTCTGTGGGGCCCACCGTGGCGGCCGGCTTCTCTGGGGCGTCCTCCCTCCAGCCCCGCCCCCGTGCTCGCCCATCAGCGGCTACTGGGCCCCAGCGGGGCCCAGCTGTGCACAGCTGTGCGGGGAGCAGGGGTGTGGGGGTGGGGGCGGCGGACCACGAGCTCGACCCCACGACTACAGAGGGTTAGAGGGGCGTCCTTCACGAGGGACAGGACTCATGCTCGGAACCCCCCCCGCCCGGCACGCCCAGCGCTTGTGTGGCGACACAGCGGCTCTGGGCTGGGGGCTGTGTGCGGAGTCGTGGGGGGAGGGGGGCCAGCCGCCCCGGAGGTGGGCTCTTTCGTGCTGACCCAGGCACTGCCTTGTCCTTTGTCAGGGTGAAGACGGCTTTCCTGGGTTTAAAGGCGACATGGGAATCAAGGGCGATCGGGTGAGTGTTTTGGGGTGCTGGCGGGGGTCGGGGCTGGGGGTGGGAGGCCAGGGGAGGGCTGCGGCATTCGGGGCATGGACGCACTCTCCTAATAAGGTGACGCTGTGGGAGAGTGGGGGCTCGGAGCGCAGAACAGCTGGGAGCCCAGGGGCCTGGCTCTGTGCTTGTCCCCCCACTGGCCCTCAGCTTCCGGCTCGGAGCCACGGCGGCTCTGGGTGTGAACACCCAGTCACTGGGGTCACCTGGGGTCACCTGGCCCCTCTGCTTATGCTGAACGCCGGGATGGCGTGCTTCACTGAACCGGAAGAGGCAGGAGGGAGGGGGCTGCAGAAATGCCGTCCGACCCGGGAAGGCCGGGGTCCCTGCCCACCCCGATGGCATCTTGGTCCCCCGAGCATCCTCCCGTGATTTTCGGACCCCGAGCAGCTCCTGTGTTCTGTAATCTCACGCTCGGGCATCAGAAGCTGCGACAGAGCAGTTGCTTTTTAATGAATATTTTACCTCCCCGCTGGAGGAAGCTGCTCGTGCTGCAGGGGGATGGGCTTGGCTCCCACGGCAGGCGCCCGGCAGAAAGCTGCTGGCTGTGTCTTCCTCTAAGTGGGGAGAGGGCAGAGCAGATGAAGCGGGAGGAAGGTTCCGGGTCGTCGGCCGGCCGCCACCGCCAGGGTGCGGGCACTTTGAAGGGCCCCGACCCCCTTGAGAGGGAGCGCAGGCCCCGGGCAGGAGGGCGGGAGGTGCCCGAGCCACCCGCGTGGGCACAGCCGTGGCGGCAGCTGGACGTGCACCTGGACAGACGGCTGTCGGCCGCCGTGCCGCTGCCGTAACTGTTCCCCGACAAAGCTGGCCTGCAGGTGCCTTTTCAGAACGTGCCAGCCCCGGAGAGCCCCACGCGCCTGGCGCCGTGTCACAGACTAAAAAGGCAGAGGCAATCTTGGCCTCTATCAAAGGCGGAGGAACGAAAGAGAGAGATTCATTTCATAGTCGTGTCCCAGTTATGTTCCTGCTAAAGACAGCCCTTCTAGAACTTTCTCCATGGTGACGGGACTCTGCCCCACATCTGAGGGGCCTCTCTCTCTCTGGCTGGCGAACGTCCTTTGCCTCTGACAATGCCGTGCACACGCTCGGGGTCCACATCACGAGGGTCCATCTCTGAAAGAGATGGCACAAAGGATGTCCGGCGGTCACGCTCCAGGCTCCGCGGGCAGGCCTGCCTTTGGGTGAGGGTGGGACTGGCAGCAGGGACACTTCCTCAGCCAGGGAGCGGAGAAACTTCTGCCCTGAGCGTGACCTTTCCTAGGTGCTCAGTTAATATGTGAAGGGTCCTTTTGTCGGAAGAACATTTCTTAGGGACCGAGAGTCCTGGGCCCGCGGACACAGTGGACATTACGAATAAGGAAGTTATTGGACATTACGAATAAGGAAGTTATTGGTCCTTCGTGTCCCGTGGGACACCCATCGTTGCTGTGGGGGGTACGGCTGTCTCCCAGCTGCCGCTGGAAGCCAGTGATCAGAGCGAGACCTGGCAGCGAGCAGAGGGCCGGGGCGGGCGCTCAGAGGCCGGGCCGGCGCTGCCGTGGACCTCGGCAAGCCCCCAGACCCTCGGTCGTGTCCGGGCCCAGGCTGGACCGCGGCGAAGTTGGTTGGGGCAGCGTTGAGGACCCTTCCGTCTCTGGGACACGTCACGTGGTCTCCTGTGTGCCTGCCATGCCCAGACCCCTGGGCGGCGGGGGCTGCGGCCCATCCCTGCTTCAAGGAAAAAGGCAGCGTCCTGCACACAGGTTGTCCTGATCTATTTGGCAAGGAGCGGTTGAGAGCTCCGGGGTTAACCAAAGTCGCCTCAACCGAGAGGGACTCATTTGGAGAAGCAGGAGCGTGCAGCCTGGAGAAGGGACTTCCCACCGCTGTGCAGAGGGACGGCGTGGCCGTTCAGCAGAGCCCCGTAGCTTGCTCCGCGGTGCTCCCGTCTCGTCAGACAGGAGCGGGTGCCGTGCTCTTGAGGCCGCCTGGTGCGCCAAGCGGGCTAAGTGGCTCCTACCCCGAGATCTGACCCGGGACCCGGACTCTCGGGCCCAGAACGGCCATGGGAGTCATGTGGTGGGAGGTGGAGACTGGGGGTTCTTCCTCACCTTCTCTTTTCTGACCTGCAGGGGGAGATCGGACCCCCTGGTCCCAGAGGAGAAGATGGCCCCGAAGGCCCGAAGGGTCGTGGAGGTCCAAACGGCGACCCGGGTCCCCTGGGACCCCCTGGGGAGAAGGTATGTGACGGGAAGGATGCTCACTGCTTCCCGGGGACAGACCCTTCTGACGGCCTTGGGTGGCCAGGCTGGTGACTCTGCCGGGCTGAAGCCCCCAGATGGGGCTAGGTGTAATCTGAGTCGGGTCCTGTCCCATGTGCTCCCCCGGCACCCTGGCCACCCTTCCTGGCGAATTCGTCTATTGCTAGGTCAGTCCTTTCCTTGTCCCGAGCTAGGTCTCTCTGAGCACTTTGCCAGGCCAGTGCCCTGAGAGGGCTCCTTCCTCCGGGTGCCCCAGAGCTTGGGGACCGAGCCCCGGTACCCAGGGCATCATCTTTCATGCAGGGACTCTCCACAGGCCCCTGTCCTTACACCTGTGCCCCCCGCCCCCCTGCCCCCCTGCCGTGGCGCTGGCCGAGGAACGGGCGCTCAGAGTGCACCAGACATCCGCCCTGCCTTGCCCCGAGGACTCTTTTACAAAAGGGCTCGACAGAATCTCACAGATAAAGAGTTCCTCCGTTGGAGATTTGCCTCAGCCACGGCCGTGTCTCCTCCTGCCTCCCGTCCGGGCAGGGATTTTCGGGGGAGACGGCTTCCCAGGGGGCAGGCAGCGGCCTCTCCGTGTCCTTTCTTGGCTGGGAGAAAATGGATGGAGAGGTGAGGTGCTGGCCAGATAACACAGCCCCTTCTTTTTCCCCAGGGAAAACTCGGAGTGCCGGGATTACCAGGTTACCCGGGAAGACAAGGGCCCAAGGTAACTTATGAGCGTATCGGGTGTTCGGACAGCCACGTCCCGGGGGAGGCTGCTGTGGCGAAACCCAGCGTCGCCCCAGCTGTCTCCCCCAGGCTCTGCCCTGGCCACAGCCTGCGCGTTAGCCTGGTTGGGTTGGAAGCAGGGGCTGGCAGTCGGGCCTTTCAGAGAAGGGGGCAGAGCCAGCCTGAGCCGAGCACCGTGAGAGGCGAGGCGTCCCCTGCACCTCTGCCCGCTGCCTTCTCTGCACCGAGGACTCGTGAAGCCTCTCTCACCTCTGCTCCGCACTGGAGATTTGAAGGTTATTTGCTCATAACAGCATAAAGGGAGATGAAACCTTCCTCCCATGAAGTCATGTTCTGCTTTAAGTGAAACATCTCCTCCAGGCCTTGGAAATCATTTAACACGTTATTTTTTCCCCCACATCTCACCTTTTATTATTCACGGTTCTTCCTTAAGAAATAACCGGCTGTCTGCACCGGAGGCGTAATTAGCGGTGGAGGAGAGTTCCTGTCTCTCCCGGCTTTGCTTGCGTCGTTCTGCCTCCCCGGCTTCAACGCCTTTCCAGGCTCCCAGGCTCAGGCTCGTTCCCGGGAAGGGCCCCGTGGGCTGCCTGTCCCCCTGGATATTTCCATTCTGGCTGAGGAATCAGCAGTCCTTCCCGTGGAATGCTAATATCCACTTGGGGCGGGTAGGCCCACGCCCCGTGTGCGGGGGAGGCAGTTTGCAGTGAAACGGGAATTTGTTCAGGGTCCCCCAGGAGTGTGCTGAGTGCGGCTGTGATGTGGCCGTGCCCCCCGCGTCTTGGAGCAAGAGGGGCTGACGGACAGGCCTTTTGTCCCGAAGTATATGTCCTCTGAGGGGAGGAGAGGAGGGAAGTCTGGGGGTGTGTGGGCCAAGTTCAGGCAGTGTCCTCGGAAGGCAAGGGAATAAAACTTTGAGCTGCCTGGCAGTTTTTTTTTAAATTAATTAATTAATTTAGAGAGAGACAGAGACAGTGCCAGCAGGGAAAGGACAGAGAGAGGGAGAGAGAGAATCCCAAGCAGGCCCCATGCTGCCAGTGCAGAGCCTGACGCAGGGCTTGACCCCGTGAAACTGTGAGATTGTGACCTGAGCACAAACCAAGTCAGACGCTTAAGGGACTGAGCCACTCAGGCGCCCCGCCTGGCAGTTTTCAAGGTCCTCAGGAGTGTCTGGACATGCCACTGTGTCCCAGCACCCACACTGAGCTCTGTGGGACCTGCACCCGGGTGTCCGGGGCAGTCTCCTGCCTGGATTGGCAGGTGGACATAGGGGTGCAAGGTTTGGAAATTCGCGAACTTTTCATGGTCTGAGCGCACATTCAGGTCAGGATTTTTAGCCACAGGAGAGTCGAGGCCCGCTGAAGACAGTAGCCACCTCCCACAGGCACGGGAAGTGCCCGAGTGTCGCAGGGAAGTTCACGTCGTAGTTGTCTGGGTATTACCCACATCAAAGTCCCCAAGTGTCTCTTTTCTCTACGTGCCCCTTGTAGGTTTCTAGAATTAAAAAGCTGTTAGTTGTTAGAGTCAGTGCATAGATTTGCATTAATTTCTCACTCTACAAGCTGCCATGCTTTATTTAGAGGTGTTCTGGGAAGATAACAAAACATGACAACAAGACGCAGCAAACAAAATGTCACGAGTGTAAGATCCACACATCCCTTCCAGTTCATTCTCAGGAATCTGTGTGCCCTGTTCTTCGCAGATCCCAGCATTCGAAGACATGGGTGTTCAGAGGGGGAGAAGGGGGAAGTGTGGTTAAGACTCGGCTTTGGTTTTTAGATGTGGACTCTATGAGATGCCTAGGAAATATTTCTTGAGTGAGTGGGTGATGGATGGATGGTGAATGGCGGGTTGGTGGGTGGGTGGTTGACGTTGGTATAGGTGGATAGTTGGATGGATGGATGGATGGGTGAGTGGATGGATGATGGGTGGATGGATGGTTGAATGGACAGGTGGTTGGATGGATGGATGGATGGATGGTGTTTGAATGGGTGGATAGTTAGACGGGTGGATGGCTGGCTGGGGGCGGGGTGGTGGGTATACGGTTGGACAGAACGGATGGATGGTTGGCTGAGTGGATGGAGGGGCAGGTGGATAGTTGGATGGGATGGACGTATGGGTAGATGGTTAGATGGGTAGATGGACGGTTGGGTGGGTGAATGAGTGGGTGGGTGGGCGGACGGATGGATGGATGGATGGATGGAAGGGTAGAAGGTGGATGGATGGATGGGTGGGGGGTGAGGGG